TATTTAAACTTTATTTAAATCAAAAAATTAAATAATAAAATAATTCAAAATTTTCGCTTAAATGTCCCAAACTGCAGTTAAGCCATGCGACGGAGTCCCCACCGACAGTTAAGTTGGCGTAAGAAGGAGGGCTTAATTGTTTTGATCCCAAAGTTCAAGGGCTTATATGCATCAATTAAAGTTGAGGGGCTTAATAGTGATTCTGAGGTTAGTTCAGGGGCTTAACTTATGGTTTTGCCTTCGATTTCAGTACTACTCAACCCCGTCCGACATTATTTATTTAATCGAGGTACACAGGAATTAAAAACAGAATTATTGTTGATTTTTTTTTCAATGAATAAATTATTGTTGATGAGTAATCAATATTTTTATGACTTTAACTAGTAATTACTAAAAAAATTATTGTTATCTCAAAATTCATGTTACAAGGGCGGTGATTATATCATTGACCTCATGTGAAATTGATGGTGGAGCTTTGTGTAATCCCTCCACCTTAATTGTAATAACTTGCAAATGTTCATAAAAAGAAAAAAGAAAAAAGAAAATAAGCTATTGTCATCTCATAATTACTGTTGTATAAAATTGTGACACATAAAACCCTAGTAGTTTATGCCCCATTAATATAATAAATTTAAGATTGACTCATTTGTTTTAAAAAATAAAAAAAAAAAAATTCTGTTTTTATTATTGTAAAATTGCTTTGTGAAAACTTATTTTACATTAAAATTGATTCAAGACAAATTTAAATAATTCACACATAACTTAACTCATTTTATAATTCCCCAACAATATTATAGTTTTCACTAGTCTTGAATATTTTAAACAACAACTAGGGGCCATTTCAGTAATGTCATTTTATATTGCCAAATTTTTAATAATAAAATTTGAGTTGTTAAGGTTAAATTAAATTTAAAAGTAAAGTATTGTTTCTCATTTTAATAAAAAATTTAAAATTGTCAATAAAAGTTTTGGCTTTCCTCACTTTATTTTTCTGGATGTATCTATGAGTGTAGTTTAGGATTTTGCTATATAATTTAATATTTGTTGGGGTAGTTGAGGAAGGATTTTGATTAGCTTTATATGAAAAGGTCAGAGTAATAAGAAGCAGCACGTGCAAAGAAAGAGATTGGCCCGATCGGACCCACTAGTGGAAAAATTAACCTAGAGACCCCTCCCTCGCCCGCTCTGCTTATTAATAATCAGCTTGCCTTAGTTAATGTTCTCCATATAGCAGCTATGGCCGAGGAGGTTTGTGCAAAATTTATACTACTCCATTTTTTTTTTCTTTCTTTTCTGTGGCTGTTATACCTCTCTCTCTCTTGATGAAAATTAAGGATATATATATATAGTTTTGTATTTTGATTTGATGCACATATATGGCGCCCTAATTTTAATTTGCTCGTAATTAATCCTTTTGCTGAAATTAAATTCCTTGTCTAATAATGATGCTGCATGGCATATATATATATATGGTGATCGATGTTCAATGAACATATATATATATATTTGATCAATAAATTAAAATAATTTATTAATATAAGTACAAGGGCTGCTCTAATCCGTTGACAAAACAAAAGGCTAAGTCATCACAAAATAAACCTAGCACCAATACCAATATTTATTACCAGGACATACCAATCAAAACCAACCAAGCCCCACTGCCGATCACATTTGCCCCTATTTCTGCTTCAAATACATCTTCGATTCCTTTTTATGCCTTCTCACCACCAATGCACAAGCAAGCAGGTCATCCATCCATTCATAAAAAGAAAGGACAGTGATTGATACACACATTAGAAACACCATATCCAACAATTTCTCCTTAAAGCCCCCATTATTTTGAAACACCAAAGCATTTCTCCAATACCACAAATACCAAGAAACAATTAGAAACATACAAGCATATATATAGTATTATAAATAAATTTTTAAATAAAAATAAATTAAATAACGATGCACTAAATTACAATATCACATAATATTATAAGAAAAAATACATATAAGTTCCGACTCCCAAAAATAATTGAAATCTTAAACTTAAATTATTTTGTTTTATTTAATTAAAACTTAATTCAAAAATAATATTATGTGATATTATAATTTAGTGCATAATTAATTAATTTGTTTTTATTTAAAA